CGTGTATATTTCAGAAAGCTTTTGTGACATTAGTATTAGGATTGATAATATAAAGCACCACAACACGTAGGCAATCTGTCAAAGGAATTTGCATTCCGAATTACTTTCTATGAGAAACTGCTCTTTATTTCGGTTTTAAACATGTGAAAAATTGTCGTAAGGCTCAATGTGATGAGCGGTGAATGAAGTGCAAACCTGCAACTTCAACAAGTGTTCAGTAATTTTACCCATTAGGTCGCTGGTGGGCTATTTCGCTGTTAGTAGAGAAATTATAAGTCCACTCGCTTTTCTGTTTCCACAAAATTTTCTTACTTCAGATAACACGTCTGATTTTTTACATCTCAAATTACATACCAACTAGATTATTGTAACTACAAGCAACTGGTTTTAATATAAGAGAATAATAATCGTTTGGGTACAAATTAAAACACAGGAAAAAATCTATGATTACATACTGTACAATAATAAATAGATATAAGTATATAATTTCTCATAGTAAAGAAAGAACAAATAAAATATTACAATACGTACTTCAAAAAGAGAATGACTTTGAAGGTTGTGTCTGTCTAAATGATCTAATTCGATATATAGTTTATCGCATTGATTGCAGCTCACTAATTCCTTTGAACTTGCTATCTTCCGGAGTGTATGATGGTTGGCATTGATGTGCACTTTCAAGTTAGTTATTGTTGTATACTTTTTATCACAATAACCACAATGAAATGGCCTATATTTCGTAGGATGACTCATGATTTCAGTTACGTGTACTTTCTTAACCTAAAATCCAAATAAAAATTTCTCATTTATATAAATTTCGGCGTTATAAATGGTTTCGCTTTGTAACTTTACTGATTTTTTCGATCTAATAACAATTCGTTAATTATTTTATTGTTTCTTCACAAAGCATTGAAATTGATGTTATTGTTAACCAATTAATCAAGACTTATCAGATGATCATGCGGCTAAAGGTTCAATCTAATATTCTTAAAGATCTGGGATTGAATCCTCGCGAAGAAAGTCTCCAAGAAGTTTTAAAGGTGATCTGTCTCAAATATGTCTGGTTTCATTTCTTTTCAACCAGCTGCCGTCTTGTTAGCACGATAATCACGATGGTCCAACAATGGCATTTTCGCTGCTTACTAGTGTCAGAAAAAGTGAAAAATCAAATACTAAAACATTCAGTTTTGAATAATTATTCTAAATATTGGATTATAAATATAGGATACAAATAATAAATGCTGATTTATTCCTTATTGTAACTTAAATGTTTTGAAATTTCCAGTAGAGGTATTTAACTATTTCAATTTAAAGTAAATTAAGCTTTTACTAAATACAATGAAGTGATATGAAAATGAAGTGCTGCACATATGAAGAAAACACAGATCACTGCACGAGCCAGCTAGCTGAAGAGGCGTGAATCCACAACCACTGTTAATACAGGGTGGGATAAAAGGTCACTTAACACCCTTGCTACAAAATATAAAATGTTCTCAAAATTAATTCGTTCATGTCTGGAACATATTAGACCAAGTAGGAAACAGATTGATGTGTGTTACACACATAGCCGCCATAAAGATGGCGGTCGTATTAAATGCAACTCCGAAACTGTAAATGGAAAACAGGTCATGCCACATATCATTACGGGTCAGAATTTCACAAGGAATTGGTTGCTGAACGATGTTATTGACCTACCTGGAACGGTTAAAAAATTATGCACGTTACATGATGTGCTCAACTTACATTCTTTGAGTACATCCTATGCTCTATAGCAGGAGTATGAAGTAAATTTTCCCCACCCTGTAGTTTTAGATACTTAGCCTAACTTAGCGCTAAATGTGCGATTTTCATTTAAGTGTTAAACTGAAAACTTCGTTTTCAACAAAAAGAATATAAATACTAATTCTCTTGAAATTTCTACTAATACTATTTTGAAACTAAACGACCGAATATTATTTAAACAAAACATTTTAAACATTTTAAAAAACTTTAAATAAAATAATTCTATTGTAATATCACTTTCATTTATTTACAGTTTTGTAGAAATTTTATTTTAATTTTACACTTATAACAGCTTATAACTTTTAAAACTTTACAGAAATGTAACGAGAAGACATTTACTTTTCTGAAATACGTTTTTATTATTGTGAAGCACTACAATAAACAGTTTTATAAATGCAATTATGTGAAAGACTCTTCATTGCATTTATAAAATATATTTTGAAGTTTGCGCAAATATTAAGATTTTAATATGGTGTCAAATCCTTATACAGTAGAGCGTCGTTTATCCGAATCAAATGGGAACAAGGGTTATTCAAATAACTTATTTTTCGGATAACCGATTATGTACGAAAAAATACATTAACCTATCCCGTTTTGAAATTTTTTTCTGTTGCATGTCGCTTCGTGTTGAATTTTCGTCGATGTTAAGCCTAACGTAAACTTTTTATAATAATAATCGTGGCCATTGTATCGTTAAAAATTATTTCTTTA